ATACTGTTTTATAATGTACTACAATACTGAACTGCAGATAATTGCCACTATTTGCAACAAGTAGTATACTTGATAGTAGAAATCCTGCTATTTTAACATAGTGTAAATAGGTATTTGCAGTTAGTGTAAATAGAATCCATTGCTAATACGAGATTTGAAAAGGGAGAAAAAAAAAGTTCGGCAAAAGGCGGGATCGAACCCGGGTCGATCGCGTCAAAAAGCCAACTATACACGCTTATCCATCTGCACCACTGAAGATGATGATTTACAGCCACTTTTAACTAAATGTAAATAGACACCCCGTATTCTTTATTCCAGAGTAAGGGCAATTCATACAATACATTTAAACTGAGCTACTTTCATACCATCTCTGAACTTTCTACCACGACTCTGCTGTTCTTCGGCTGGTTCTTCACTGTATACGTTGATTGACAGATGTCTCGTCCAGTCAGCGGTGAGTAATCCCAAACCAATGCCGCTGTCTCAAACTATACCTACCTCTTCCGGTTTGCCTGATTTGTCATTGTGTTTTCTGACTTGTTCATTTGTTTTCGGATTTGTCGTTGTGTTTTCTGACTTGTTAAAATATTTTCTGAATTGTTGTTGTGTTTTCTGAATTGTTATTTTGTTTTTTAGACTTGCATTTGCGTTTGTAATTTGTTATTTTGTATTCAGAATTGTGATTTATTTTGCACTTCTCGGCCACCGTATTTTTCACTATTATTATGCTGTCTTTCTTTGAATTAGCAGTGTTAACTTAAAGGTCTATCCACCAATTCCTGGTTTGATGATTGGCCATTGTGATAAAAAAAAGTGTTTTTTGTGAATTGTTGTCAAAAAGTAAGTGTGTTTTCTGTGTAGTTTTTGTATGTGAATTAAAAGACCAGAACACTGAATACACCACTGCTGAATAATGTCCGGACACCTATACTTTGCTCACAATGGACTATTTTAATACATTTTGTTTTTAGAAAATTTAACAAATGATGTACAGTGAATGTATTTAAATAAAATTTATATTAAATATATTCATTCGTGGGACATCAAGACAAAGCTTTCAATCATCTAACTTACTCTTGGAGTATAGTTATATTATAACCACCAATCTCAGGTTATGTTGCGATTGTTAACACTTACATATCATAGCATAATGCTGCAACCAAACATGAAATAAAGTCACATTTAGATGAGATCTATTCTGAATGAATTGCATGCAGCCTGCATAACTGGTTGCAATTTTTTAGCTCCACAAGACAAACATGTTGGGAATAGACAATTACTGTTGAATACCCAAATGCTCATTTCTTTCAGTAGCAGATGTCTTCATGTGTTCTGATGGTACGAGGTGCCAGTTCACTCTCAAACGTGGACGTTCTGCAGATTTTTCCTCATTGGCTCAGCAGCGATTCCTATGAATTATTTCAATTGTTTAAATGCTTTTAAAACAAACTATAATAAAACTCAAAACATGCTAATTCACACAAACTTGCATGCATTCTCAAGAAAAAATGCAAATCAAATAGAGCACTATATACTAAGTATTAGAGAGCTCTTTAGTAAATCGGAGTACATTGGTATGCTCTACAGTTCAAATCCATAGTACTACCTTTTGAAGGTCATTCCCCTGGAAAGAACGTGGCGAATGTGAAGAAAAAGTTCCACAGAGACTCATGAGGACACAGATAACCATCAGCGCAACACTAACCAGCAACAGGTGATACCTGCACAAGGCTTTTTCATCCTAGTCAAGCAATGCAGAAGTGGAGAGGTTAGCTACATGATGCGATGATGGTGCACAATTGACACTGTTGTTGAACTTGATTGATCTAAATAGTGACACTGTAGAGCTGCTTTGCAGTTGAAATTGAATTTGAGTTATTGAATGAATTTCACAACATTAACACCTGTTTATCTGTTTATCTCTGTGAAGCTGCTTTGAAACAATCTTTATTGTATGAGCATTTATCAAGACGACTTCTGAAGGTAAAACAATAAAACAATATTGATATCTCGATATTAATCGATTCTCATTTTTACGGAACGATATTGATTCTTAAATCCCAAGAATCGATTATTCTAGCCTGTTTTCAGTTAATGTACGGAGTGTTGAAGGGCACTTCCCATCCAATAAATCACAATAAGCATTGTGCTTTGGTACTTTTAATATAAAATAAAGTCTCAGATTTCAAATTCTGTCCGTTGTATTGCAGTATTCAAACAATAAATGCTGTTTTGGCGCTGTTTAATGTGAACTGACAGATCGCACGTGAACCGATCATCTCCTCCACATTAAAACCAGTTTCAGCACAAAATAAACATGACTAAACATCCGAAGGTAAGTTAAAAGAAAGACACAACTTTACAATCCGTATCCGGTCTCGTGTAATCGCTCAATCAGTGTTTCAGCCGCGCAGAGACGTCAATATAACGGCTTGTAAAAAAAGTCACGCAACCTCAGAAAAACATAACGTTATTCAGTGACCATAAACTCATTAGTCAGATAGAAAAATAAACTGTAGAGAGGGGTATTTTGCTGAATATATGCACCATATAACATATTCATTATAATTTTTACTGTTCTTCAATGTTTAATTTATGTTTGAATAAATCCATCAAGTTTTTATGACAGCCACCATTTAAATGTTTCTATTTCAAAAAAAATTATCGAAGTACAAATATTATTATGTAATTGTAACATTATTATTTTAAAAACTTCATTAAATTTAATTTTAACAAATCAGTCAATTTTAACCTTCAATATTATAGTAATGTAGTACCAACTGACTCTTGTGTATATTTTACAGCATTAGTTAAGAGATTTTTTTTCTTGAGAAAATTTGGCATGTACTGTACCTGATATATATCCAAATTAATCCATATTGAATCGAATTGAATCGAATCGGTAATCGAATCGAAAGCTTGTGAATTAGAATCGAATCGAATCGAATTGTGAAATTCTATCAGAAGTCTATCAGATATAATTCATATTTTCTCAGCTCTGTCTCACATATTTCTCACACACAGCTCATAATTGTCAAGTCTATCAGATATAATTCATATTTTCTCAGCTCTGTCTCACATATTTCTCACACACAGCTCATAATTGTAAAATCTATCAGATATAATTAATATTTTCTCAGCTCTGTCTCACATATTTCTCACATACAGCTCATAATTGTCAAGTCTATCAGATATAATTCATATTTTCTCAGCTCTGTCTCACATATTTCTCACACACAGCTCATAATTGTCAAGTCTATCAGATATAATTCATATTTTCTCAGCTCTGTCTCACATATTTCTCCCGATATCTTGGAAAGCAGTGTGGCCGATGGCCGATATAATTTTATTTAATATTTAAGAAATTTTAAATCATTTGAAAATTGATTAAAAAATAAATGTGTAAAATAAACATGCTTGTACTTTAAATGAAAAAGTATTTTTCACAAATAAACAAATATTTAATAAAAATATAATTAAAAAAGGAAGTAAAAACTGTAACCAACAGAGCACTCAGTATTCTGGGACGTCTGTGTGCATTGGGAATCATATTTTTTCAAATAAAGCCATGGTAACACTCATTTTACATACAGCACACAGTGAAAATGACATGAATATGACAGTGGGCAAATGCATAAAGCGCAGCATAATTTGAAATCATGAGTTTAAAGTTTGTCGATCGCACGTCTCAATGAAGCTGAACACTTCATAAGATCTCACAGCTGGATTCGACTAAGTTTGCAAGGTTTTGGAAATTAGATGTTCATTAGTCATTCAAAGATTTGTTTAAATGATGTAAATGCGTATTTGCTGAATGCTGACGGCAAACGAGAAAGTATTATATAATGTTTGCTTTTCTTTTACTAACAATATAAAAGCAATCGTTATAATACTTTTTTGTATACATTTTAATTCCTTTATTTGACATCCTATCTGATTATTAGACAGACTTCTATCCGTATTAGACAGAACTGTTAACGACGACGGCGAACAAGAGGGAGAATGTGAGCACTGTGTGTTCAGGTGCTGCCGCCGTCAAAATAAAAGTCCCGCAACGAACGCATCGGCCAAACAGAAAATCTAATCGGTCGATGCCGATATTTGAAAAGTGCCAAATATCGGCCGATATATCGGTCGACCACTACTCAGATTTCAAATTCTGTCCATTGCATTGCAGTATTCAAACAATAAATGCCGTTTTGGCGCTGTTTAATGTAACAGCACAAAATAAACATGACTAAACATCCGAAGACAAGTTAAAAGAAAGAGTACAACTTTACAATCTGCTCGTGTAATCGTGTAATCGCTCAATCAGTGTTTCAGCCGCGCAGAGACGTCAATATAACGGCTTGTAAACAATGTCACCCATTTACCTCAGATGTTTAATTTATGTTTGAATAAATCCATCAAGTTTTTATGACAGCCACCATTTAAATGTTTCTATTTCAAAAAAAATTATCGAAGTACAAATATTATTATGTAATTGTAACATTATTATTTTAAAAACTTCATTAAATTTAATTTTAACAAATCAGTCAATTTTAACCTTCAATATTATAGTAATGTAGTACCAACTGACTCTTGTGTATATTTTACAGCATTAGTTAAGAGATTTTTTTTCTTGAGAAAATTTGGCATGTACTGTACCTGATATATATCCAAATTAATCCATATTGAATCGAATTGAATCGAATCGGTAATCGAATCGAAAGCTTGTGAATTAGAATCGAACTCTGTCTCAGATATTTCTCACACACAGCTAATATTTGTTGAATCTATCAGATATAATTCATATTTTCTCAGCTCTGTCTCAGATATTTCTCACACACAGCTAATATTTGTCAAATCTATCAGATATAATTCATATTTTCTCAGCTCTGTCTCACATATTTCTCACACACAGCTCATAATTGTAAAATCTATCAGATAAAATTCATATTTTCTCAGCTCTGTCTCACATATTTCTCACATACAGCTCATAATTGTCAAGTCTATCAGAT